ATAAAACCAATAATTAAACCATGTTGGACATTTTAAAGATCAAATAACATCAAAAAGTGATTAAAACATGGGTAAAGTAACATCAACACATATCGAAATATGTCAAACATCAGTAGCGTACATTAAACACTCACTCAAGGGAATACGATCTCCAATTTTTATCGCTTATTTTGATATATTTTCTTGTTTTTTCCCCCTATGATGTTTCTCGTGTACATTTGTGCGTGACAACTCTGTCGTAATCAGAATTTAATACATGTGAACTAAGAATTGTGAAGCTACCGGTGAGTTTCATGTTGGAATGATTTACAATTAGTTGATCCTCTAAAAGTAAATCGTAGTATGTGATTAGAAAGTAAAATAAAAGGGTAATGAGTTGCGAGGTATGAAAGTAATCAGTGAGAAGGAAAATTTGCATTTTGTGATATACTTTGGTGTTGCCTTTGGGTCTATATATTAGATGCAAATATACAATGGTTGGAAGATATTTGTGTTGCCGCCCATGAGTATTGCTTAATGACTCATAAATGAATAGAATTCAAATGACAAAATTCTTAGTCGTGATACCGTAATGTTGTTATTTGAATTTTAATGTTTCAATTCCATTTTCAAAACAAGTTTTGTCATTTTGTTTTTACATCTAAGGGAGAAGGGGATATGCTGTTGATGGGGTTTGAACCCTCTATTTCAACTACAGAAGGTAGGATCTCATCAAGTGAGCTAGCCCTCATCTTGATTTTGTTCGTTTGAAAATTGAAATGCAAACTTTTGATGAGCCTTTTTTTTTTCCTCATTTACGCGATTCGAGCAAAGACTTGAAATTTAAAAAGTTTGTTTGGTGTGTATTTGATCTATTTTGCTATAATCAACTATGTTTTCAAGTTTCTAATTTCTTCCCAAAAGATATATCTCTAATAAGTTAATTTTTTTTGGGTAATAACTGTGAATATATTACCATAAACCAACAAAATTGATACACCTAAAGAGCACTCGAAATTTTCAACCACGTTATAGGAAGGGTGTTAAACAATTCAAAGCCTCTGACAAAGCAAGCTAATTACAGAACTTATGAATCAAAATACTGCCTCTATATGCACTAGAACATTTCTTATGTCTTATCCTTTCCTTTATTTCCTACTTGATTTGTGTTACTATTGTCTCTCTATTTACATTTTCATCCTGAAATGTTTGGAGTTCCTAACTCTCCAAGTATGGTAGATCATAGCTCCCCAAATGTCCGCTGCTATTTCATTTTTGATTCTGCTCCGGTGCCTTTTTTTAAACTACATTAGGCTTTGGCTAATCCCCATCCTCTGCATGTTTATACCCGACTATTGTTCCACCATCACTCTCAACTCAGATATCCATTTGCATTCAGAGAATAGGTATGAGGAAGTTTCTTCCTTTGCCTCATCACATAAACAGCATAATTAAGTTGTTGTCAATAGGAATCTGCAGTTTTGCTAATCTCTCTTTTGTCCGTAATCTCTCCTGATTAACCAGCCATACTATAATCCTGTGTCTAGGAAGCATTGTAGAACTCCAAATTAAATTTGCTACTTTCAGTTTCTGCATGTCACCCAGCATAGCATTGTAACTTCGAGTGACATAGTATCTACCACTAGATGATAGACAGTAAATACCATTATTATACCAATCTATCATCTCTGCCTTGGTTGAATTCAGTTTCCTCCAATACCAGCTACAATCAGCTGGTAGCTTGCGAGTCCATATATTCTGATCACCTCTCATATAAAGGCCATGAACCCATCTAATCTATAATGTATTGATAAGTTGATATTTTTTCCAACTTCTCTTATGCCTTTTAATAGAGTTATGCCCCAGTTGATGTGATTAATGGACTAATTATATTTTGAATGATATAATTGCAGGTCAGGAGTTGGGTGAGAATTAAGAGATTGAAAATCATCAAATACCTGCAAGAAAACCATTAAATTCAGGCCAAAACTAAAGAAGAAAGCTAAAGAAACAAACGTCCATCCTACGTGGGCCACACAAGTCACCCACGCAGGTCACCCACATAGTTGGAGAACTAGGAGGCTAAAAGTTTATGTTCTGAAAGTGGCCATGCATCCTGCGTGGGCCACGCACTGAGAGCTGAAGAAATAGAGTATTGGGCCACGCATCCTGGGGGGAGGGGAGAGGGCACGCAAGACCTAAAGAGGATAATTTTGTCATAGTATAAATAGTACTTTTTAGGTCTTTTTTGACAACTTTTGACATAGAAGAATATTGTACAAGTGGCTGTGAGTTTTCCTAAGGGTTAACAGGTGACATAACAGTTTCTCAATCTTCTTCTCTATTAGTATCAATGACATGATTAAAGGATAGTTTGATTGTTTCTTCTATTGTCATGTCTAGCTAAACTCATTAGCTCGGGTTGTGAATCCGGAGCGGTGTTATGACTATGGGTTATTAATATAGATTCGTCTTTGATTAAATATTATGTTATGTAATTACTCCATATTTTCTTGTATAATTTGGTGGTTGCAAACACTAGATTAATGCCTATCACACTTAGTTCTAACTTGAAAAAGTGGAACTGAGTTTAGGTATAAAGAAATTAGCAAGGAATTAATCTCATCTCAATTAATAGAATCAAACTAGGAATATGGAGATTCTTACTTGGTCATGAACAATTGTATTGCATAGAGCTCTAAATAGCTTGGAAATGCATTTGTGAGTAAAAACCTCTTAGTGTTGGAAATTACTAAGTTAGTATTATTGATATTTTTGTCATAACACATGTTTGATTGATTGGAATCGAATACATCTATACCCATAGCATAGCATACACAAAGAATGAGCAGCCCTAATGCTTTCTCTCATTGATTACTACTCTCTAATTATTTTCGCATTCTGTTTGATTAAATTTCGTAGTCATAATTTTAGAAGTAATTGCAGAAAATAAATCTTTTATTTGAAGATTACTTTAAGTTCGTTAAATTCACACACGCTTTGACATTCGAGCACACACCATACTCCTCGTGGGATCAACCCCAACTTTGTTGGGTTTATTATTGCAATCAACCGTACTACTTTCAATTTGAGAGTAAGATTGAATGTGTCCAATGTCGTTGCCGGGGAGTTTAGTGTTCTTGTGTGTTTATTCGAGTTCTTATCTTTTCTTCGTTGTTACTTTGATCCGTTTGTTTTTGGTGTAGACTGTGATGGCAGAAGAAGATCTTGGCGTTCTGCTTTTAGGTCCTATCGAGGAAGCACCCCGTGCACGCCGAGCAGCAAATCGAAACCAACGGAATGAACAAGTTCTACCACTTCAACAACAAGTTCCACATGCACCTAGAGCACAACAAGATCCACCAAAAGCGGTGCGAAATTGAGGATATGCTAGTGCGATTGTACCACCAAGGATAGGGGTACCTTCACAATCACTAGTGTGATGATTAATATGCTTCAAGATAGAGGATATTTCATAGGAGATCCCAATCAAAATGCCAACAAACATTTCAAGCACTTCATCGATGTATGCCAAATGAGCAAGCAACCAAATGTCTCGGATGAAGCAGTACAATTGAGGTTATTTCCGTTCTCATTGAGAGAGAAAGTTTATATTGGTTGGAGAGATTGCCAAATCACTCAATTCACTCAAGGGACGAACTTGTGAAGAAGTTCTTGGGCAAATATTTCCCACCGGGGAGAATGGCCATATTGAGAAATAAAATTTTGGGATTTAGACAACATCCCACAGGGACATTACATGAAATATGGGAGAGATATCGTGGAATAGTTAAGGAATGTCCAAACAACGACATGACTGACAACATGCTTCTGCAATCATTCTACCGAAGTCTTAATACCACCAATCAGACCTATGTAAACCAATTGGCTGGGGGAAATATAATGAACAAGACGTATGAAGAAGCTGAAGACATATTGGATGAAATGGCTGACATATCAGTCGCTTGGCAATCTAGAGCTAATGTGCCCCAAGAGGATCCTTTTATGGCACACTTGACTAAGCAAATGGAAGCTCAAGGATAAAAAAATTGCATAATTGACAAAATCTTGAAGTTTCTAGCCAAGAACCAAATGCCAAAGAAAGTTAATGCCATGGACAGTGTTCAAGGTTCAGGATTTAATCAAACAATAATGGGTAACCAATTTCAGAGTCAAGAGGGCATTTTTTCCCCCCAAGGATCAAATCAAGATGGTGACTTTCAAGAAAAATGTTACCAAGTGCAAAACGAGGAAGCATTTATGTAAGTAACTACTAAGGAGTTCAACAAAGTGCTAACAACCAAGGGCAATGGATACATGGCAACCAATGGCAAGGAGGTAGTTCAAATTGGTCGAAACAAGACAATCAAGGTTGGAATGGCAACAATCAAGAAAATCGCAATGGGGGACCTTCTCAGAACTGTAACCAATCAAGGCCCTACAACAGTCAGGGGCAATCTTCTAGTGATCCTGAAATCAGAGGTTTGATGGAAAGAATGATCAAAAAGCAAGAGCAGTCCAACAAAGAAAGGAGTGAAATGAATCATGTGGTCAGTTCTCATACCACATCAATCAAGCAGATTGAGATTCAACTGGCTCAGATTTCCTCTCAATTAAATGTGAGGCCACGTGGAGCATTGCCAAGTGATACTATTGCTAATCCTAAGGGAAACGAGGGTACATGTCACATCTTTGCCATTACCACTAGAAATGGTAAAGTCCTTAAAGGAAGAACTATTGTGATCAAAGATGATGAAGTAGAAGAGATAACATTTCTGAAAGTGTCTGAACTTCCACAAGTTGAGGAATCAGTAGAATAGCAAGTTATAGTCGAAGAGTTACAACCAACACCTAGCACTTCAATAGAAGTAATTGATGTCCATACGAAAGAAAAAGAAGCAATCAAGGAGTTGAATATAAGGACTCCAAAGGCTTACCGACCATTTCCCAGGCCACTTCCTCCTTATCCGCAAAGATTTATCAAACAACAAAAAAAGGGACAGTTACAGAAATTTTATGACATGATGAGCCAGATTACCATCATTGTGCCTTTTGTGGAGGCAGTTGAGAAAATTCCAGGGTATGCCAAATTCATGAAAGACTTGGTCACCAAGAAGAAATGTATCAACTTTGAGACAGTCAAAGTAACACATCAATGTAGTGCAATCATTTCACGGACTGGAGTGAAAAAGATGGAAGACCCGGGAGCATTCACTATTCGGTGCACTATTGGTGTGACAAGTTTCGCTAAGGCATTGTGTGACTTGGGGGCAAGTATTAATCTAATGCCTTATGATGTATTCAAGAAATTGGGTTTGGGTTATCCAAGGCCTACCACTATGAAGCTACTTATGGCGGATCACACTCTGAAAAAGCTGTTGGCAATTATTGATGATATTCTTGTTAAGGTGGATCGCTTATACTTTCTAGCAGACTTTGTGATATTGGATTGCGAAGTTGATAGAGAGGTTCCCATCATACTTGGGAGACCATTCTTAGCTACAGGACGGGCTATCTGTGACGTAGAAGCGGGAGAACTGAAATTTCATTTGAATGATGAAGAGGTCATTTTCCAAATCCAGAAATCAATGAAACAACCACATGATTATGGGGTGATTTCCGTTGTAGACATAGTAGATGAAATGGTGGAAGATGACAGGGAAGAGTTCTTTCATGATGAATCCTTGAAGGCTGTCCTCCTAAATTCGAAAAATGAGGCCATGGAAGGTTACATTGAAGCTGTGATGGCTTTGGAGGGATTTGGTTCCCATTCTTACAAGCCCGAGAAATTGTCTCTTGACATGGAAAATCGGGTCAGTCCTCCTACTAAGCCATTCAACATTGAGCCACCAAAGCTAGAGTTGAAGACTTTGCCTTCACATTTAAGGTATGCATTTATGGGCCCTAACGAGTCTTTACCTATTATTATCTCATCTTCTTTATCTAGTGTGCATGTATCTTTATTGCTCGACGTGATAAAAAATTATAAGTTGGCATTAGGATGGACCATTGCAAACATCTGAGGGATATCCCCTTCCTTTTGTATGCATAAGATTAAACTCAAAGATGATTGTAAGCCAAGTATCAAGCACCAACGAAGATTAAATCCACCGATGCAAGAGGTGGTAAAGAAGGAGATCATAAAGTGGTTAGACGCCAGATTGGTATATCCCATCTTAGATAGCACGTGGGTTAGCCCAGTGCAATGCGTGCCCAAGAAAGGAGGGATAACAGTGGTGCCAAACGATAAGAACGAGTTGATTCCAATGAGAATTGTCACCGGATGGAGAGTCTGCATGAATTATAGAAAGTTGAATAAAGCTGCCAGGAAAGACCATTTTCCACTTCCATTCATGAATCAGATGTTAGATCAGTTAGCAAGGCGTGCTTTTTATTGCTTTCTCGATGGCTACTCGGGGTACAATCAAATTCAAATTGCCCCAGAAGACCAAGATGGCTAGGGACATTTGCTTTCAAAAGGATGCCTTTTGGTCTTTGCAATGCACCCGCCACCTTCCAACGGTGTATGATGGCCATCTTCACTGACATGGTGGAGAATTTTTGAGGTGCTTATGGATGACTTCTCCGTTGTTGGATAATCTTTTGATGGTTGTTTGGCCAACTTGGCTAAGGTATTAAAACAATGTGAGGAAACTAATCTCATCTTGAACTGGGAGAAATATCACTTTATGGTGGAAAAAGGTATTGTACTTGGCCACAGGGTATCCAAGCAGGGCATCGAAGTGGACAGAGCAAAGATAGAAGTCATTACCAAATTTCCTCCACTAAATACTGTGAAAGGTGTGACAAGGTTTCTTGGGCATGCGGGATTTTACCGGAGATTCATTAAAGACTTCTCCAAATTGGTAAATACTTTATGCAAGCTGTTGGAGAAAGATGCCATGTTCAATTTTGACGAGGCGTGTATGATTGCCTTTGAAGAACTAAAGTGACGCTTAACCACTGCTCCCATCATTAAAGCTCCCAACTGGGAGCTGCCCTTTGAAGTAATGTGCGATGCAAGTGATGTGGCTGTTGGAGCAGTGTTAGGCCAACGGGTGGAGAAAGGTTGCTGGCTGAAAAGGAGTCCAAGCCAAGGTTACTTAGATGGATTCTATTGCTACAAGAGTTTGATATAGAAATCAAGGACATAAAGGCACTGCAAATCACGTGGTGGACCACCTATCTCGTATTGAGGGGAGGAGCCTTTGGAAATTATAGAGATAAATGAAAGCTTCCCTGATGAGCAACTATTTACAGTCACAGATATTGAAGATAAAGAGTTTCCATGGTATGCAGACATGGCTAATTTCCTGGTGAGCGGGTTACCACCTCCCGAGCTTCCTTCATACCAAAAGAAAAAATTCTTGAGGGATAGTAACTCATTCTTTTGGGATGAACCTTACTTGTTCAAGATTTGTGTTGACAAAATCATAAGAAGGTGTGTTTTAAAGAAAGAAGGGAACAAAATCTTGAAGGATTGCCACGAGTCTCTATATGGAGGACACCATGGTGCGAACAGAACTGCCGCAAAAGTCCTTGAATGTGGGTTATACTGGCCTACATTGTTCAAAGATGCCAATGATATTGCCAGGGCATGTGATCAATGCCAAAGGCAAGGCAACATTTCAAGAAGCACGAGATGCCTTTGAAGCCAATTGTGGAAGTGGAATTGTTCGATGTATGGGGGATCGATTTTATGGGTCCATTTGTGAGTTCGTATAGCAACAAATACATCCCTGTGGTTGTGGACTACGTATCTAAATGGGTTGAAGCAGTTGCATTCCCAAATAATGAAGCAAGGAGTGTTACAACTTTTCTCAAGAAAATATCTTCACGAGGTTTGGGATTCCACGAGCTATCATTAGTGATGGTGGCTCGCACTTTTGCAATAGATCCTTTGCTACATTGCTAGAGAAGTACAGAGTCAAGCACAAGGTGCCCACCCCGTATCACCCACAAACTAGTGGAAATTAGAGGACTTCAATAGAGAGATAAAGAACATTTTAGCCAAGACAGTTAATACAAATAGAACGAATTGGTCAAAAAAACTTGACGATGCTCTGTGGGCTTATAGGACGGCCTACAAGACATCAATTGGTATGTCTCCATACAAGTTTGTATTTGTAAAGGCTTGTCATTTGCCGGTTGCATTGGAGCACAAAGCTTTATGGGCCATAAAGAAGCTTAAATTGGAGTGGGTTGATGTGGCAAACTTGAGGGTGTCACAAATTAATGCCATGGATGAGTTTCGATTCCAATCGTATGAGAATGCAATATTGTACAAGCAGAGGACGAAATACCTCCATGACAAGAAGATCATGAAGAAAGAATTTCACCCAGGGGACATGGTTCTACTATACAATTCAAGGTTTAAATTATTTTTGGGCAAGCTTAAGTCGAAATGGTATGGACCGTTTAAAGTTCTTAATGTGTATCCCTTTGGTAACGTGGATTTGGAATCCAAAGATGGCATGAGAATATTCAAGGTGAATAGGAAACTACTTCAGCACTATTTTGGTGAAGTTGATGGAGGAAAAGTCGTCTCGGAAGTTGAGTTGGGGGAACCCCCAAAGGGACTCTAAAGTGAATCATTTTGGTATCGTGCCACGACGTTAAATAAGGCGCTTCTTGGGAGGCAACCCAAGTTCTTAGCTTAATTCTTTTATTTTGATTTTATTTTGTGGATTAGCTGCATTTTTAGCTTTTGCTTAAATAAATATTTATGTTGAAAGTGTGCAAGTTGAATACTTAATAAAGGAGCTGCATGGCCATTGTGCGTGGGTGACACATTATACGTGGGCAGTTCCAATAGCTTCAACAATTGAGTAGAGAAGGGAATTGAGATGCGTGGCCTAGATACGTGGGTCATGTAGATGAAACTTGGGTCACACAAGGAACTTGAGACCAGGTAAGTTTAAAACTAACATTAAGTTAAAATAAAAGCACTTTGGTCATCACCCACGTGTACCCTCCCTTTCTCTTCCTCCCTAACCCTCTTCACCCACGCACGATCTTAACGCCCCAACCACACCTTCGACCACCAAGCTCAGCAAAATTTCGGCCAATTTCAGTCAAAGGTATCGTGTCTAAGCTCCTCAGGTATATTCTTCTTCTCTCACCTCAAATTTTCAATACACTCGCTAGTTTTTCTTCTTCTCCGTCTCTACCTCGTTGCTTTCATCTTTTCTTGCCAAGATTTTTCTGTTTATGAGATTGTGACTGGTGTTTGCTGTTGTGGGTGTCTGTTGAAGGCAACTACATGGTAAAAATCTGGGGCTAAAGCACTAGATTCTTGTGAGAAACTTCAGTCACCATTATGCCTACGAGGTGTTTGAATAAATGACTGAATGAACTCAGCCAAGCGGGGTAGTCTTAACTGAAATTTTGAGCAATTTATAGCACTTTGAAGCCTAATTCTATGAAATTTCTCTTTACTCATATGCCGAAAATAAAGGGGAATTTTAAGGTTGGCCAAATTATGGGTTAAACCAGATGATATTGAAGTGGAAAGTTGAGGTAGTGAGCAGAAATATCCTGAGGAAACATGAAACTACTCACAACTGATGAGTTTGAGACTGAATTTCGATTAAATTGTGGGTCTTATTGAGAGTGATTCTTTTTTCTTGATCATTACTAATATGCAATAAGTGGAAATGAACCTCAATATTGTGAATTTATTTTGCTAATAATTGGAGAAATTGAAATGTAAAGGGAGTATGTGATCAAGTTTAAATGCCCCAGGCCAGTATGAAGAGCTCGAGGAATTGCGCTCTCGCATTGCTCATGTTTTTAACCTAGCGCTATTGCATAGTTATATGACTTGCACATATGCAATTGTTTTTTCTTCTTTTTCTTTTTCGCTTTTTCTCTTGATTCTTCTGTTCTCTTTTGTTTCCTTTATTTATTTTTTATTTTATTTTTGTGTGTGTGTATGTTTGTAGGATAGTCTAGATTAAGTTGGGTAAGTTTACACTTGCACTCATGCTGGTTCTTTTTGGCACAGATGACATTGAAGCAAAGTAATTCAAAAGGTGGAAACAAAGCTAAAGAACATAAGAGAAAATCTCTTCCCAAGGAAGCTCATGGGAAACAGATATAGGAGATACAAAACTCAAGCAAACTCGACCACATCAATGACACGCTTGTGCGTGAATTTTATGCCTAGGGACATGCATTGACAAAAGGGGAGCATGATGTAGTGTCAGAAGTTACAATTCGGGGAAAGAAAGTTCCATTTAATTCTCAAGAGTTCAATTCTTTGCTGGAGTTAGATGATCAAGATCAGAGCCAACTTAATAACGCCTTGATACAATGGAATTCGCATAAAGAATGGGTAGCAGGGGTCATAAAGAAGGGTGAGGGAAATATGACATGAATAAATCCAGGTAATATACACAGAAGGACCTTCAACAATACATCAGTGGCTTGGAATGGGTTTGCAGCAAATAGATTGATGCCTTCCAAGAACTACCTTGAAGTATCTCAACAAAGGCTATTCTGAATACTGTAATCATGTCTAAATGGTCTATTGATGCATGGCAGATAACTGTAAAAACTATCTGGGCCAAACTTATTGCTAATCAAGATGCCATGCCATTTCCTGGTCTCCTAACCAAACTCTTTGAAAAGCATGATGTGCCAGCTATACCTTCATATCGCAAGCTTCCGAAGCCCGGTAAGGTCGTGCTTCTCGAGCACATTAAAAATGATTTGGTCTCTACTTTGAGGAAGCCCAAGAATGGACCATAGGTAATCACTGGCCATACTTCAGACCAATCTTCGAGCCCATCTACCTCCAGTTCTACTGCTCCACCATCACTGCCTCCACCATCTTCAGTCATAGTTCCTCCCACCAGTAACCAAGGCATTTCTAATGTGCCAACTTCTTCTCCCACCGCTCCTGGGTCTAGCAGTTGTTTGACATCCACAGAGGTAGTCACATCAATGAATGAAATTAGGAACATAATGCGCGAAATTGGCATATACACTATGCTAGACCATGACAAGATTGATGCATTTGTAAGGCCAGCTGGTGTTCCACGAAGGGAATACTGATCCAAGTACATGCCACCACAACGCATGTCAACTTTGGCATCAATAGAGAACATGTTTATTTACTTGGTTAACACGCAAGATAAGAAATTAAAAGAGAAGAAGGAAAGAAGAGAAAAGAAAGGGAAAATAAGAGAAGAAGAGGCTATAGCTAAGGCAAAGAGAAGGGAGGAGAAAGACAACACTCAAAAGATCATCTTGGAGTCGCTTTTAGATTTGGCGGCTAGAGTTAAGAAGTTGGAAAGCAATGTCAAATCTACTACAAAGGGGAGTACTGAAATTCAGCCAGAGGCGACCGAGTTTTATCGTCCACAGAGATGGTCACTAGTACTGTGACCCCACCACCCTAGGACTAAGGCATTTTTCTTCACCCTTTCCTTTCTCATGTTCTAAGTGCATTTAGGGCAATGCAAATTTATGAGTTGTGGGAGGGTATGCATGTTGTAGTGTAGTTTAATGCTCCCTTTTTGCGAGCTGACATATCAACTTCCCAATTGAAGCCATATTTTATTTCTTACACCTTTTAAGGTTAGGCTACCATATTTCTTAGGGATGCATAACTTCTCCCAAGACACAAGTGCCACTTTTCTTTTATCCCCTGAGCTTCCCCATAAATAGTCTCTACATCTTCTATCCACATCCTTCAATACACTTTAAGGCAATATAAGTACTGCCCCCCAGAAGTTATATACTAAGAACAACACTGCAGTAATGATTTGCAACTTCCTGCATATGACAAATTTTTGGAATAAGCATTGTTGATTCTGGATATAATTTTCTCTACAAGTTGATAGCATTCCATCTTACTCCACTTTTTTAGGAGAGTGGCAGTCCTAGATATTTGATTGGTAGCATCCCCAATGGTGAACCCTGTAATATTCAGTAGCTGCTAATTTGTTTCTTCCTCTACATCTGCCACAAACATGCTGGATTTTTCCTGATTAACCACTAAACCTGTAACCTCACTAAAGTGATCAAGTAGTTCTTTCACTCTAGTAACATAGTTGATATCTCCACTGCAAAATATCATCAAATCATCATCAAAGATCAAATATGTCAATTTGGTATTTTTACACATAGGATGCCATTTAAAATCAGGTAGCTCACTCATCCTTTTCTGAGTTCTGGATAAGTATTCCATCACCAGTACAAATACAAGAGGAGAAATGGGATCACCCTGTCTTAATCCTCTTTTACCTGCAAAGTAGCCATGCCCTTCTTTATTCACCTTAATGGTAAATTTGGTGTATGTGATGCAAGTCATTGTCAGTTGAACAAAGTAATCTGGAAACCTATAACCTCTTAAAGCCTCCTCAATGGACTCCCAACTTACCATATCATATGTTTTCCTAATGTCAATCTTCATCAAGTATCTAGGTGTGATTTTTCTGTTGTAGTGCCTGAGCAAATCATGACAAATGAGGACATTGTGCACCGATGACCTCCCCTCCACAAATGTTGCCTGGTTTTCTGCAACTAGGAGGGGATATTGCTTTCCTCAACCTTTTGCATATCAACTTAGAAATACATTTGTATAGCATATTACAACAAGCTATGGGTCTAAATTGAGTAGCTTTCTGAGGCACATCAACCTTAGGGATCAGAGTAATAATTATTGCATTCGGTTGCTTGAGCAGCTCCCCATTGTGAAAGAATTCTAGTATTTTCATTATTATATCATCTCCTATTAAACTCAATGTAACTTTGAAGAATTCACTGTTGTAACCATCAGGTCCTGGGCTTTTGTTACTCCCTATACTAAACATAGCTTCCTTCACGTCCTTCCCATTGAAAGGCTGCACCATTTCCAATTGTTATGCCACTGTTAATCTATGTCCATTGTGGAGGAAACTCCTAAAGGCTCTGGTTATCTAGCTTTCTTTTGTCCCCAATAAATCTATATAAAAGTCTACCAAAATTGTTGGTATAACTTTAAGATTAGTTTGTAGCACTTTTTCCTTATCCATAAGTTGAGTAATTGCCTGATGCAGTCTTTTATGCTTGATAATTGAGTAAAAATATCTTGTGTTATCATCACCTAATCTCAGCCAAGTTTCCTTACTTCTTTGGTGTAAGAAAATTTCAGCCATATAAGAAGACTTTCTGAATTTATGATATTTCTCCTTCTCTAATAATTGTAGAACTAGATCACCTGGTCTCAGTTGCAAAGTTATTTGTGCCTGTTCCATGGCATCTCTATTATCATTGACTTACTTGATAATATTTTTATACTGATATTTATTGAGCTCTTTCAATTTCTGCTTTAGGAGTTTCATCTTCTTGACTATCTGAAACATCCTACACCTCTCTATTTGCTCTTGCCATACCTCTCTTATTGTGGCTAGAAACTCTGGATGATAGCACCATGTATTACAGTACTGAATTGGTCTCCTTGTGGTATTGAGAACATTTGGCATTTATATACTTAATGGACAATGATCATCGATTTCCTCTGGCAGGAATATGGTTCTTTATGCAGGCATGTGGTCCAGCCAATCTGTGTTTACAAATGCCCAATCTATCTTTGAGT